TGAAGACCCGAAGGCGACCGATGACTCCGGCCTATCGTTATGAGAATGAAATGCCATTCCGGTGCTTGCGCAACCGTGACCAAAAGCGCAAATCAGATTTTTAACCTTCGTCTGATTTGACAGTTTTATGCAAATTGATTACAGATTGAGAGGTCGAGAAGCCGGTACACGAAGGAAGTTGAGGTGCCCCAACAGGTACAACAATTAGCGCTTTGTCATTGACGGCCGACATTGCACTCTCCATAACCTCCCTGATCCTGCGCTATTTATCCTGGGGTAGAGATGCTTGCATTTTAACTGAGTCAAGAGAAATACCCAAAACTCCAATTCCCAAGCGTAGTACCCCAGTTTCTTGAAAACGTCTTTGAGTGTAAAGATGCTGCGACTTGGAACGGAATTGGGAAAGTCAATTATCCAAAAGTCGTCTAATAAATGTAAAACGAACGGCAGTTTGTAAACATTCAGAAGTATCCAGCAAAGAGCCTCGGATAAAGTATCGAAAATGCGGGGCTGCTACAGCATCCAAAGGTCAGACGTATCAAGTAAATACATTTTTCTTTCCAATCAACTCCAAAGAGATTCCACTGAGAGGGGTGCAGAGGCATAATTTTAAAAGCATCGGTAATGTCAGCTTTACCCAACCAAGCACCTGATCCAGCAATTTTAATGAGTTTAATGCGTGATCGACCGTAAAGTAAAAGAGCGAGAATGGGGGTGAGGGATGAGATCATTCATGCTTGAATCTTTCAGTCATAATGGGCAGACAAGTCAATGATAATGCGCTTTTTTTTTTTTTTTTTTTTCCCTTCTCAGAATACTTCGCGAATAGCACCGCCTATAGGGTTAGTACGGTATGAAGTTAACGATTTTGGGAAACAGACCAATCATGTACCCTTTTCAACTTTTCTCGCCAGGATTTTATCAACCACGTCCGGTTCCTGCTGGGCAGACCGCAGGTTATTACACTTCACGCTGGAGTGAATATCGTATAAACCCGCACAAAAGCCATTAATCAAACCAAACAAGCACGAGACAAAAACAGCGATCTGAAGGGTCCTTCAGCGTCTTCAGAGAGTTCTGGGATGTTGCTGGGGGTAGATACTTTGTTTAACTTTCCTTAGCCGGCAGACGCGGCTTGCGGCGAGAGCACACAAACTTTGGATGGCCGTCTCCGCAAAAAACTTGGGCTCGGTGGCAGAGGTACGGTGAGGGCTGTCACAGGGGGTTTGGACTCGGCAATGATTTTAGGGCAGAGGGGGGAGGAATGAGAGACGCTCCGCCGATAGTGCAGAAGACACCACGGTGTAAAATGCCTGCTTAGTAACGCCAAATCGACCTGAGACCAATCCAGTCTTTGACTAAACTTTTGGAGGAATAACCAGCTTTAACAGAAAAGTACTAATGATACTAGTAAACAGAGTGCCACCGTAAGACAGAGCGAGATCAGAAATGATAGCCAAATAGGTGTCTAGCTCGGCCTTGGCGTCCCGGTACATTTCACAAATCACATCCCTTAATACACGAATGCCACAGTAAACTCTGTCATGGTAAGATTTTTTAACAGTCTCGGATCATTGTCCTTCAGAATGACAGAAATGTCCCAGAGTCCATTAGGCGTTTCTCGCCTAAACCAGATTCGGACGAACTTAAAAAAATTTAACCAAGTTTACGTCAGTACCTGCCATGATCTGCCTGCGAAGACGGGAGAGATGGCAGCTGAAATAGGATGCATTCCTCCCCCGAGAAAGGATCAGGATGCGCGGACATAATGATGATGCACGAGGTAAGAAAAATACCCTAGTACTGATTTTCATACCTTAGAGAACTGCAGGCATGGATGTTTGCGCAGATCTGTAATGGGTCTTGGTGGGAATGGTAGAGCTTGGATAGTTGAGATGGAGAGCGCCGCCTTATTTAAAAAGACGCGCAAATTAAGTACGTGACGCTGAAGTCCAATGCGATTGGACAAGGGGTGGAGCCAAGACTGACTTCCGTGCCTGTCTGAACTAACACTGACGCTCCATTATATGCAATCAAACAAATTACGCAAACAATAAAGAAATAACAAAATAATTCTAAATAAAAATGATTCAACACAGACAAAAGGGGTCCTAAATTATTAATCAAAATTCTACAAACAATTTCCCCATCCCCATTATGTGAATTGGAGTTGGTTGCACCAGCCACAAGAATTGAGACGGCCATCTTTTTGTCAGGTCACTGGTCAACCTGGCTCCTACAAGGTGACTCACAACAACCAAAGCTACACGGAAACCTGCCAAACCACACTAAAACTGAACTCACTTCAGCATCACCTCGCCATGGTAAACAGGAAAAGAAAAAAAAGGGATTACGACTGGGAATGCACAGAAATCATTGAGGTGATACTTGGGCATGTGCACGTATTCGTATTGTTATGTACAGATGAACGGTGGCGTTATATAATGTGAGTGTAGCCGATGTAAGCATTTCGCTAGCGAATGCGGTGAACTTAGCTGGGGTGTTCATAGTTAATCTCATAATGTGCTCAGATTTGTAGCGAAAGATCACCTTGGCTTTTGAGTTCGCTCCAGACTGACTGAAGCCAGCACTGCAAACTTGGGGTCCGGCGGTGTGAAACGAAGCGAGGCTGAATCGAGCCTGTGTGAAGCGAAGAGAAATGATAAGGCCAGCGTTCATCTCACAGTAACGTAATGACGTACCATGAGTGACGTACATTGTGCGCTACGCACTGCTGACAGAGGGAGACCGACACATCACTCAAATAGTAGTAGTGATATTCCAATAATTGCTCAGGGCCATGAATTGACTAGTCCCATGCCAAATTCCAAGTTCTGCAATAATCGACCAGCCCCTATGTGAACAATGGCATGGGTACCGAATCTGACAAGACTAGGTCTACCATGTACTGTAGTTTCACTGTCAACTGTTTTCCATTGCTGCTTTCACTGCTGCTTTTCACGTCTTTTTTGTGTTTCAGTTCACCAAACGCTATGTATTCGCATGTCCATATACTGCTCAGTTGATCAATGTATTACACTTGTAAGCAGCGGGGCCGTAAGGGGGTAACCATGGACGATTCTATGGGCCCAGCACTCACAGGGGCCCCACAGAGGATACGGTTATAATTATAAACATTTGTAAAGAAAATTTATGGACCTGTTAATTTTTTATTTTAATTTTTGTAATGACTTGATCAATTTAAAATGAATTTCTTTTTTGTTTCTCACTTTTAAACTTTTTAAGAATAATCTCAGCACATCGGCCCCCCCTCTTACTATTCATCATTTTGTACGGCCCATGTTATGCTCATGCCTGAACTGGCTGCAAAATTTTTTCTGCAGGTCGGTTAGTACGATTACATACATCAGGCAATCACCGATCGGCTCTGGTACCATTGTACGTGCCATCAGCCAATCACAACTCTGCTGTACTCATGCATCAATGAGAATGGCAATGCATTCAGCATTGTCTCTGTCAGCTGAGTTGTGCCCGCGGCAAATATGTAAATGCTCGTCTACCAATAACGATGTAAGTGGTGCACAATACGCAAAATTACAAATACACTAGCTGGTCTGCCAGCAGAAGTGCAAAAGTCTATTTATTAGCCTTGGCTTTGGTGACTAACACTGCAGATCGGAGAGAAAATTTCGTGATATCAGACTGTTTTTCCAAGACCAGTTTTTTAATTGGCTATTTGGATTTTGCGCATTTGTAAGGGTATTAAATGGAAACGCACCTTGAGAGTGAGGACAATGTCCGACGTTATTAGCCCCAAAAACACAGTCTGCTTCGTGATCAAAGACTGTTCGTGACACAGACTCCGATTTGAGGCATTGCACTGATGAGCATATGTTCGTCGCTGGAGTACATTGGGGATGCTTTACCAGTTAGTTTCTGAATCAGTATTTTGAACATTTGCTGCAATTGACAAAAAACATTTCAGCTGACTGCTGGCCAGTTATTGGAACCCCAAAGAAAACAGACTGTCAATGAGAAACCGCAGCTTTTCTCATCTTTATCCTACTCTCATGAAAATAAATCATCTTGCACTTGGACCGACCAGTCACTGATTTCATACATGCTACGTGAATAATCATGTACATGCAGGACTTCAGATCAGAGTGGAAGAGCACATCCAACGAGCTAGCCAAATAAAACCATTTGCCACTGGATGCATGCATCCATAGGTCGTATCAACATCAATCTCTTACTTTCTGTCCTGATGGATAATGTTCCTCAGTGGGATTATTTACTTTGATCCCTAGAACATGCTCATGTTTAACAATCGACAAAAACGTATTCTTCCGAAATGCACCTTCAATATTAAATGCCATTATGCACAGATGCAGCAGCCCCTGGAAATCTTCCCTCAACCCCCCAGACACATTCAAGTTATAAGCAGTGGAAATTCTGCCCTGTCTCCCAGTGTTAACAAAATCTTCAAACTGATCCAGAATCCAGGAATTGATCCAGTTCTTCACGAAAAACTAATCATTTCTTCCCTTCTGCCAAAGCATTGTCCCTACCAAATTTGAAGACAAATCTGTCCAGAATTGTGGCCTGTAGAGGGCAAACAGACACACACAATGAGAAATAAATGCAACAGCCACATACACCTTCCGCAACTTTCGTTGTGGGAGGCGGGCGGGGTGAACAATAATTTGGTGTCTAGGCTCGAATCCCGACACAGGCTGTGCCCTACTGATTGCCATGCCTCGCCCACAAAGGCTCGCTCCCACCAGAGTACTAACTCCAAGCCCAGCTTCAGCACTAGCACTCCACCGTCACCTGCAGCTCAATTGATCTAATTATCTAATTTGGCCTATATAAGCTCGCACCTCTCAGCACACCATGTCACGGGGAGTGGCAGGACCCAAATGCAATGTTTATTTACTGCAGGGCAGTAAACAGAATGCAAAGCTGGGAAGCTTGGTGTAGATCAGGATCAGGAACTTTGATTCTTGAGTGGAACCTTTCGGGGAACTCAAAGGAGGAGGCGCTGATGACGGGATTCAAACCCGGGTCGCCCACACAGCAGGTGGGAGAGTTACCACTAGGCCACTGGGGCAGGCTGGCTTGTGGCTCGGCCAACTGGACAGTATCCACTCAGGCAGGCAGGGGAGCGGTAAGCCGGATGGCTTGGACAGGGGCACAGGAGACGGCAGACAGGAACCAGGAGACACACAGGCAGAACTCGGAGTCAGAGGCAGAAGCCTTTCAGGTTTACCGGGGCAGGAACGAGAGGATGTAGTCAGAGGCAGGCAGAGTCGATTCCAGGAAGTCGAACCGAAGACAAAGGCTGGAGAGTAGTGCATGCTGCAACGACAATCTGACAAAGAGTTAGTGAAACAGAGCTGCTTACATGCTGGCTGGGTAACGAGACTCAGCTGAGAACAAGGCAATCAGAGATGGCAGACTTCACCCATTCACGCAAATATTGGCAAGTGTGGAAACACAAACAGACAAACAAACAAACACACAGAGCCGCTAAAAACAGTACTTCTACGCCCACTCTGTGGGGTGAAGTAACAATTGCAGTGGGAGGGGTGTGGCCAGCAGTGGAAGGGGTATGGCCAGGCAGAGTAAGAGACGGCAGCAGCAGGGCAGACAGTGACACACCGGTGCAAAGTCTCTGTTTGCCTTGCCAGTGTAGACATTGTGTTCTACTTTATTCTCTGTATTAGCAGACTTGTATTTTGTCTCTGTTACTGTATTTTGGTTTTTGCGCTAATGTTAGGGTAGTTAATTATTTTATTTTGTGAATATTTAGTTAGTATTGCACTTTTGTTTTTCTAGTACAGTTTTGTTCCTTTTTTTATTTGGCAGTGCTTTCAGACCTTGCTGTTTTCCCCTAACTTTGATTGTAAATACTTGTAAATACTGGTTCACTGTGCACCTTATTTCACCTGTGTGCCACTGTGGCCATTGTAAATACACTTTTTGCACCCGATTCCCGTGCTCTCTACCTCTTTATACCATTGAGCGCTATTTTAATTAAATAAAAGTTCGACCTTTTAAGGGCAACATCTTCCCTAGAAGTAACAGTCTTGCTGTTTCTTTGTCATTTTAAAGCGATTGTTATTCTCCTTCCCAGCTTCAGACATACAGTACCAGTCAAAAGTTTGGACACACCCACATTTTATGTTAAGTAAAGAAATAAGCAGCCTTTATTTTGCAAAAAAAAAAAAATCTAATTCTTAAATCCATCAAACTAATCATCATTTGTTGTCACATTTGCTGAGCATTCTCACTTTTTTTTTTTTTAACAAAGGCAGTTATTTGACTATAATGAACTTGCAGCTGGACGGCTGTCTAACTTCCCAAAGACGTGCTGCACTTGAGATATGCTTTGTGCTTTTCATTAACCTTTTCGCCCAATAAGTCCCAAAACCGCTTGACTTTAAAGGTGCACTATGCAAGTTTGTTTGTTTTCTGCGCAATTATATTTTTGTCTCAATTCGCTGACATCTCTCCACGATCTGCTAGCTGCCTGCCCCTGAATTCACTGTAAAAAAAAAAAAAAAAAAACTTGGGCTCTGGAGACCGCACAGGTGTCACAAACTGCAAATAAACACAAGGGGCACAGGCTGTGCCCCAAAACATAACAAACTGTTCTGGCCAATCACCGACAAGAGTTGACAGTTATGGAAGCATGGGAAGGAGGGAACTATGGGAGGGAGGGGCGAGCTATCTCTGTTTTTGTTTTAATTCGAATGTCAACAGAAGTGATGTCAAACAAACCTGAATAGTGCACCTTTAAATCGGCAGTTGGAAAATAGAAGGAGCTTATTTGTCTGTTTATTTTGCAAAATATGGCTTCTTTGGACGCTATTCAAACAAGTAAATTATTTTCTTTTCACTTCTGATTGTTTACCTTTTACAAGATTCCATTTGAGATCATATAGAGATCTTAAGCAGTTTTAATTTCTCTAAAAACACAGCGCTGTGACATTAGCAAAGCGTGTCCAAACTTTTGACTGGCACTGTACATAAAACTACCTTTATCTTCGCACATGGATTCTCTCGCCTTCACCTTTTTCAGTGCACAACCACGTGTGCACCAAAAAGCCTTGCACTGAGCTTGAGGAGAAGAGAGCAGGGAGTGTCAGGAAAGCCCCCACTCCTTCTGGGGGAGATTCAGGGCCCCCAGGTGGATGCTGGGTTGGAGGTGGGATATTAACTAGCAGCAGGCAAGTGTGATGCAGCAGAGAATGACGCAGCACTGCAGCAGGCAGAGGCATGCTATGCTGCAAAGGCAAAGCAGGAAAGCAGCTTATACAGCCCACCTACCAGCGGGCCAGAGCATGGCTCAAGTTGTCTGCCAGAACTAGCTCTGTAAGCTGCTCCTCATTTGTACATTTGTTATATGAATGAAATGACTGTGTCTTTTGTTTATACCTATTGGCGTCAAATTTATATGCTTCATGTCAGTTAAAATGAATGAAAATGAATTAATCAGTGATGGAATTTAATAGAAAAAGCAATTTAATTGGAACAGGAGGGGATACTGACATGAGTTAGCTGGTTTTTACTGATGTGCTCCGAGCCGCGGGTATTGAATCTATGCTACAAAGAATTCAGGCTGTGGAAAGGGGATTCTACCTAGCACTAAAAAGGTGTACCTAAAAAATTGGCCACAAAGTGTACTTACATACATACATACGAGTTCATATTCATGTGTTCCAAAGCATGAAATGCTAATTCATGGCATAAATGCTGCGCCCGACACAACTCATTTATAACAGCACATAAAGGAGAAAGGCTTTCTTACAATTGAAGACCTGTGTGCAAGAAGTACCTAAGTCAATAAATAACACTTTAGTAATTTCGGGGGTCAAAGTTTTCAAAACATGTTTATATATAATCTCACACAGTGCTGTGAAGAAGTATTTGCCCCCTTCGTGATTTCGTCACACGTAAATGTCTCAGATTATCAGACAAATTTTAATATTAGACAAAGATAACCTGAGTAAATACAAAATGCAGTTTTTAAAAGATTATTTCATTTATTAAGGGAAAAATGCTATCCAAACCTACCTGGCCCTATGTGAAAAAGTAATTTTCCCCCTTGTTCAATCATGAATTAACTATTGTTTACCCGAGGCCAAAATATGGCCATCGGGTATAGCAAAGACCTTGTGTCCGTCTGTCTGTCTGTCCATCTGTGTAGACAATAGCTCCTTTCCTATTAATCTCAGGGTAATGAAATTCAGAGGGACTGTTCTTGGGACATATAGCTTGGGCAAGTTTGAAGATGGGTAACCTTGACCTACTTTAAGGGGTCAAAAGGTCACATTCTTTGTAAACACTGTCTTCTTGATTACATCCACTATATTTGTTGTAGCTGCGTAAAATTTACAGTGTGTATGTTCTGGATAATCAGCTTCGGGTATTGCGAGACCTTGTCTGTCTGTCTGTCTGTCCGTCTGTCTGTGTGGACAATAACTCCTCTCCCATTAATGTCAGGGTCATGAAATTCACAGGGACTGTTCCTGGGACATATAGCTTGGACAAGTTCGAAGATGGGTAACCTTGACCTACTTTAAGGGGTCAAAAGGTCACATTCTTTGTAAACACTATTTCCTTGATTGTATCCACTATTTTTGTTGTAGCTGCGTAAAAATTACAGCGTGTATGTTCTGGATAATCAGCTTGCAGAACAATAAAGGTGGATGACCTTCACCTGGTTAATGGGGTCAAAAGGTCACATTGTTTCTGAACAGTGTTACTTTCATTACGCCTTTTCACTACCATGACATTTTTTGGTGTAGCTATGTCAAATTCATAAGGTGCACTCAGTGGATAACCAAGTTGGAGGACATGGAAGCTACATGGCCTTCACCTACTTTAAATACCTTCTAATAACAATTTGATGTAGCAACATTATCAACCAAACTGTTCAGTCACCTTCAACATAACATCGAATTTTGATGACTGCCCTTCATGTCAGACTTCATATTCTGAATGCCAGACGATTTAAAGTTCCAGCTGTCCTGTTCCACACTTTCCATATAACCTGCCAGGTCCTAGATGAAATTGGACAATTACCTCTGTCTTCCTTTTGACTCTTGAAACTTCTCTCAAGCCCAAAAGTATAAAACACATTGTGTTACACAGGCATACATTAAAAAACCCTTTATATGTTGTAATTCCTTGTCTTATGCCCATACGGCCGAAGGTACTTTAACATTATGTTTTAGTTCAATTTCACTAGCCACACCCAGGCCTGGTTACTGCCAGACCTGTTAAATCAAGAAATCCCTCAAATACAACCAGTCTGACAAAGTGAAGTAGGCTAAAAGATCTCAAAAAGCAACATACCATGCTGCAATATAAAGAAATTCAAGAACAGATGAGAAACAAAATCATTTTTCTATCTGTCTGGAAAGGATTACAAAGCCATTTCTAAGGCTTTGGGACTCCAACAAACTATGGTGAGAGCCATTATCCAAAAATGGAGAAAACTTGGAACAGTGGCGAACCTTCCCAGGAGTGGCTGGCCTACCAAAATTACTCCAAGAGCACATCGACGACTCATCCAGGAGGTCACAAAAGAACCCAGAACAACATCTAAAGAACTGCAGGCCTCACTTGCCTCAGTCACTGTTCATGATTCAACAATAAGAAAGAGACTGGGAAAAAATGGCATCCATGGGAGAGTTCCAAGGTGAAAACCACTTCTGACCAAAAAGAACATAAAGGCTTGTCTCAAATTTTCCAAAAAACAACATATGATCTTATGATGATTTGGGAAAATATTCTGTGGTCTGACGAGACAAAAGTTGAACTTTTTGGAAGGTCTGCATCCTGTTTTGTCTGAGGTAAAACTAACACAGAATTTCTTAAAAAGAACACCATACCAACAGTCAAACATGATGGTGGTAGTGTGATGGTCTGGGGCTGCTTTGCTGCTTCAGGACCTGGACGACTTGCCGTAATTGAAGGAACCATGAATTCTGCTCTCTACCAGGCAATCCTGAAGGAGAATGTCCAATCATCAGTTTGTGACCTCAAGCTCAAGCGCACTTGGGTTATGCAGCGGGACAATGATCCGAAACACACCAGCAA